CTAGATTTTTTTAAAATATTACATTTATTTTTTCAATATTTTATTTTTTTCCTTTTATTTTTTGAAAGTTTTTGTATTTTTTCCAAAATTTAACTTTTTTATTTAAACAAAATATTTAATTTTATTGTTTTTTATTTCTTATAATTTTTGTAAAATTTTTCATATTTTTTAATTTTTATGTTTTTAAATAATATTATAATATTTTATGTTTTAAAAGGAGTATAAATTTTTAAAAAATTTACATGTTTTTTATCTTTTTCAAGTAAAGAATAAATTGGAATCAGTACCTCTTCGTGCTTCATTATTTCTCTGTTTTACCCCAATTTTTTATGCTCTTCCACCTCTAATATATCAAAATAAAACAAATTTTAAAGACCCATATCTTCTTTATATTTTTTATTTATTTATTCATATAAATATTAGAAATTTTTAAAAAAATTTTAAAAACAATAAAAATTAAAAAATATAAAACATTTTATAAATTTTGCAAAAAGTTGAAAACAAAAAATTAATTATTTTGATTAAATAAAATGTTAAAATTTGAAAAGATTCAAAGAATTCAAAAAATTATTTTTATTTAAAAAATTAAAACATTGAAAAACGTAAATTTAATATTTTAAAAAACTAGAAAATTTTATTTAAAAATTCAAAACTAAGTTCAAAATATTGAATATTTTAAAATTAAAATATGATTTTAAAAAATTCAAAAATATGATTTTCTTTTAAAAATTAAAATATTTTTTAAAAATATTATATTGATAATTTTAAAATATGGAAAATTTCTAAACAAATTGAGATTTGATTTTTTTAAAAAAATCTGATTTTTTTAAGAAAAGAAAATTAATAATTTGTATTAATAATTATACCAACATTACTATTTTCAACTTGTGCAATGACAAGATTTTTATGAAGTTATGCTAAAAGGATTAAATTTTAATTTTTGTACGAATACATAAATCATTTGCATAATTTAACAATTAATTTCATCAACTAAAAGTATCGCGTTAGGAAGTCAACATTATGTCAATAAAATCAATGATCACATAAACATTTTTAACGACAAAAAAATTAACAAATTTAGTAATTGAATTAAAATTATTAAATTAAAATAATATGATAATCAATTTTGTATAAATTATAATACAATAATTAAATTTCAAATTTTTCTAAAGCATAAAAACATCTGACATGATTTGATCAAATCTAAACTAAATATGTTATTAATATGTTTACGTTTAGTACACCCGGATACAATTGATCTTTTTTACTAAGAAACAAGCTCAAGTTCCTTCCCATTACTAGAAATTACTAGCTAGCCTTGAAATCTATTGAGGTCATTGGAGGAATCCCCTGTTGATTTGTGAAAACGTTGTTGGGATCAATCAGTGTCCTGGCTTTAACCAACCTGTCGTAGTTGTTCAGAAAGTACTTTTCACTCCAAACTCTAGCAATCTCGAGGGCGCGCATCTTCAGAAAGGAAGGTACTAGTGTTAATTAATTCCATTACTCCGGGGTCAAAGTCCATGTAATTTACATAAGCCGCCCTTGGACCCCATGAAACGTGGCCCGCTATTGCATCATAAAGTCCTCTTATCCATTCTATATATTCATTGCTTTTGTTTTTATCTTCTTCATTCCACTCCACCAGGTATTGTATTGTATACAAATTACCTTGTCTGTGAGGAAAAGCGATTGAGTCGCTGCTTATGTTGTTCATGATGCCACCATAAGGGTCCAAGATTATATACCCTTTGGGTTCTTGGTCAAGTATGTTGAGGGCAGCCCTTATCCCCGTTGGAGAAATTGGATTCCTTGCGTAGTCTGATTTCGCCTTGAATAATGCTTTTCTTTCAAATACCTGTTCTTGAGGTCGGAGACTGTGGCTCCATCACCTAGGCCCGAGAAACATAACACTGATTCAATCCAACTGGTTTCCTTGTAATCTTCCTCCGCAACACCCAATTCAGGAAACACTCGACGTAAGATTGAAAGGGCTTCTCTTTTCGGACGTAGGAAGAAGCCTTTAAATGTTGCTGATATCCCAGTAGCCTTTGTTTCAGGTAGGCCAGCACCTACAAAGCATGATAAATACAGATCACCTTCCAAGTTGGGAGCAACGTGTTGCCACTTGTTTACTAGCTTGGATAAATGAGTTTTCTTGCCAGGTCTAGACACAATGAAGCTGGTAACAGTCTTTGGTAATTTCAACAACTGGATTTTCCATGCGTAAACGATTCCCCATACGCCGCCACCACCTCCTCTAATTGCCCAAAAAACGTCTTCTCCCATTGCTTGCCTGTCAAATAGTTCACCTTCTACGTTGAGGAGGAGAGCGTCAATCACATTGTCAGCTGCTAGACCATATTTCCTTGATAACAACCCAAAGCCACCACCGCCAATATGGCCTCCAGCCCCTATTGTTGGACAGGACCCAGCGGAGAAACCATGAATGCTAGTTGACTCAGCAATGGCGTGGTATGTCTCACCGAGCGTTGCACCACCTTCCACCCATGCAGTTTCGGTTTCCAAATCCACTGAAACATGGTTCAGATTCATCATGTCTATAATCACAAATGGAGCTCCATCACTGACTGCCGACGAAGTACCCTCATGGCTATGGCCACCGCACCTTACTCTAATCTCCCATGGGCCCGATGTAGAACACAAGACACTGCTGTTAAGCTGCTCCTTAGTCTCCGGCAAACTAATAACTATTAGCAAAGCGAAGATTTTGAATCGAAAAGTTGAGAAGATTATAGTAGAGTGAAGAGTAGTCATGATTTTTTAGGTTAGAGAAGGTAGTGTAGTTGCTTATATTGTGATGATTAAGACAAGAGGTAATATTTCTCCGATCAGTGGGTGCTGAGATTGAGAGAGTTGAGATAAGAAAGGATATGATGAGGAGGAACAGCAGAGAATAACAGTTCAACTTTACCATGGCTGTTAAGTTGGGGATACAGGAATAGCAGTTGCGGATTATATTGGAAAAGTGGAGCGTCACGTACGTTGACGACAAAGTGATGGAGAAAGCAAGGTGGAATACTAACTAGGGTGAGTAATCGTGGCCGGCTTTTCTTTTTCTATTAGAGGTTATGCAAACAAAAACTTTCTCATTGGTATTTGTTTAATTAATGCTCTCAGCGTGCAAGCAACAAACAAATGGTGATAAAAACCGCTTGCTTGCATATATAGATGCATTTGAATTGATTCCCCATGCTAACATGGGATTCAACGACTTAACTAATGGCTCCCAAAAAGCTACTTTCTGAAACCCCACTGCTTGCACCGTTGTCAATTTCAAATGGGTTTGGCAAGGTACTAGGTTAGTTTGATGAGTTGTGAAGTCATAAACTCGCTCTGTAATAGTTGCCATGAAATCTTCACGTCGTTTATCATAAAATCCTAACTACTAATAAATAAATAGATTTTATTTTAAATATTTTAATTAAATAAATTTTATTCTAATTATGATTTTACAACTTTATTTAAACAACATCAAAATTTTGTAAGATGAATCCGAAACTTTAATAAATGGTTTATACAATTATTTTTAAAAAATAATATTTAATAAATTTATATTTAAATCTCAATATTTATAATATATTCTCTTACTTTGAGATTATAACCCTTTTATTTATAAAAAAAAAAAAAAAAAAAGCCTTTATGCGATCGAAGCTCTAGTTTGAGAGAGATAATTCCATGCGTGAGGCTCAATAATATATTAGTATCCATACCTTCCCATAAAATAAGGACTAGTGTTTGAGTTAGAGCTATATAATAAATGCCGGTCAAGTAGAAAATCCAAGGCCTCCCCAAAATTAAAAAAGAAAAATAGTAAATTTAAACAAAATTTAATGAACTATTCACAAAGTTTTTTTTTTATTTCGAACCAAATAATATAATTTAAAAATATATCATCAAAAGTCTAAAATTAAATAGTTTCATGTCCCATAAGTTCAAAATGACATAATTTTCAACATTTAATGTCGTGTTATTGTTGTCATTAGTGTGTCGACTCTCAAATTAATTTATAGTTGCATTTATAGTCTAATATCTTAAGTAGACAGGCGGATGGTTATTAGAGACTAAGCCCCAAAAAAATTATAATTCCTTAGCGTCTATATGCATTTTTTATAGAATAATTTTAAATTGGTCTTCAAACTAAAATTGTTAAATTTTCTATGATTTTATAATTCAATTTTATGCATTAATTTAAGATGAGTTAAAATCACATTACTATTTATTTATTTAGTGCATTCACTAAAAATGACATCAAGTATCATTTAATCAAATACCTAATATTATTCTATTTAATTATATCGAATTCTAATATCTTATAATCTAGTAATTATTATGTTTGGATAAGAGAATTATTATTTATGATGGATTCCAATAAAGCTTGAATAACACCTCTTAAATATCTTATATTCAAATCTGATTATTTATTGATCATAGTAATATAAAATATTCAAACTCGATTAGCTTTTGGTTCTAGAGTAAAGTACTCGAACCTAATATAATTATTTTTTTTGTTTATTTATTAATTTTTTATCTTGAATGTAATAATATGTGATTATATTACTAATGATTTTTTCATTATGATTGTAATTTTTTACTTCTTCATGCAATCTCATATAAAAAAAATAAAATTCAAAGAAAATAAAATCGTTTTTCCTCTTATTTAACATCCTTCCTGTCAAACACATTATTTAAATGTTTATACTTCATTTTATTATTAATTTTCCTATTACCTTTTTTTATTACTGTTTACTTTACCAAAAATATATTGCAACATGAAAATAGATGTATAAATTATAAATAATGAGATTTGAATCATTTTACAATTCAAAACCTATTCAACACAATGCACTCTTGGTCATGGCCATATAAAGGGTCAAAAAAAAAAAAGAAAACCAATAAAGGCCCTAAATCTGAAAAAAAAAAAAAAAACCGAACATTTAAATTTTTATTTGTTATTTAAAAATACATATCTGCTTTATACTTGAGCGTAAACTTCGCTTGTGGAGAGCAAAAAACAGGAAGAAAAAAGTGGCATCAATTTTTTTTGAATCCAATTCTCTCCCAATTTCTATCTGCACTTTTGGATCAAACCAAATAAGGATCTAATTGATTAATTATTTGAAACTCTTGCATGCCACTTTCCCTCATTTCACCCTCTGCCTCTTGCTAACAACGATTAGAGAAAAAAAAAAAAAAAAGAGAGACGGGAAACATGGTGCAATCTGAGAGAGATACCAACTACATTGAAATGCGAAACTGTGGCTAGCTGCAAATAACAGGAATATCATCTAAAAGCCAAAAAAAAAAAAAAAGAAGCTCATGCAGATCATGCAATCAATGCATGGAATGCACTAATAAAATCACCGAGCCTGAACGCTCATTGGAGAAGCAACCTTGCTCCAGACTAGATATAGTGCAGCCAATACCAAATTTTGGTTACCAACTATTTCACAAAGCTATTAATTACTAAATAACCTAAAAGAATTATCACACATCATGTACAACAATATTAGATTCCCCTGAAGTGATGAAGGAAACTCTAAGGACACTGTTCCAAAATTACATCCTTCGTAATGGTAAATTCAAATACTATTTTGGTAAGGAGAAGGATATATATATATATATATATATAAAGCCAAACACACCCTTGAATGCATTTTGCAGGCATCTGAAGGGGGGAAAACTCCTTGGAGATCACTTTATAACACCAATTCCAGTCAGGATAACAATACAGCTCCTTCCCCAGTCAGTAAGAGAGCTGAAATGTGGCACAAGCAATTGCCACAAGTCTCATCAAGCAAATCTGTAGAGCACTCAAGCTGATATGGGTTCATATGGGTAAGACAGCCATGGGTGCTTCAGAGCCTCTGCTGCGGAAGGGCGCTTCTTTGGATTTATTTCAAGCAAATGTGCAACAAAATCAATGAAACCCTGGTCCCCCATAGGCAACCGATGCCTCAAGGATGTCTTCTTGGGTATTAGGTATTCTAGTCTGTTGGTCTCCTGAAGAATAATGGTAAATACGCACCACTTTAAACCCAAATGCATAAACATAAAAACAACATTCAAGTTATATATAAAGAGATAGGGAGGGAGCCCCTAAGCACTGGGGAAGCACTGCAAAATTAATGTTTAGAATAAAGTACTTTACTCAAACAAGTAAATATTGACCTGATTACGTTCATAAAGCATGTGATTCTTGGTAAAATATTTGTATGTATCCCGTCCTTTAGCAAGCATGTCTTGTTTGATGGGACCTATGATTCCAATTACTCTTGCAATTAATGTCGCAGGTGACTCATTCTGGAAGAGGACCTACACCATCATATTGAAACCAAATTGTATCAAACATTCATTTATTTCTCCAAGAAAATTATCCAAAAATATATTACAAGAAATTAGTACCGTGAAAGAAAATATTTTTCCGGTAACATCAATTCAAGAAATTAGTCAGAGTTGTCAGTAGAACAAACTAACTTATAGCAATAGAATGAATGGATAAAAATCTAAATCTAGATACCATAACATAAGAAACATTTTCTTTTGGTCAAGTTTGAGACAACTTATTTCAGGAAACTTACATGTCAGTTTAATAACTGAATCAACTAGTCTTCCTGATATTTTGAACCAGAGACTTAGTAATTGGACAGAGTCCCAAAATTTAATCCATTTAGCATTTATGGACAATGACATCACTGAATGCAATTACAAAGAGATCATAAAATCCTACAAGAATTTTTTTTTAAGTTCTACAACCAGTCAGCTCAAAGCCAATCATGTTTAGTCATAGTTCTTTTTTCATTGAATTTAAGGATTTGTTCAAATGCATGATATTTCCAATTTTTTTGTCTATAATACTTTTTTCTCCAAAGAAAAAGGTGAAAGAAATATTTTAAAAAGTTGATTGTAAGAATACCTTCAACATATCATAGCCATACTTCATAAGAAGCAAATACTAATTAATTTCTGAAGAAGGCCAACACTTACATTGCCAGTACAGAGTTCTGCCAAGATGCAGCCAAGTGACCAAATATCTATCTTCTTATCATATGGAAGTCCTAGGATAACCTCTGGTGCACGATAGGACCTGGATTGAACATAGGAGCATAGATGATCTGTCTCAAAACAACTGCTTCCAAGATCAATAACCTTCACCTCACATCTACTATAGCTTTTTACTAATATATTTTCCGGCTTCAGATCACAATGTATTAGGCCAAGGCCATGCAAAAACTGGAGAGCCTCCAAACACTGAATGGTAATTGACTGCGCAGAAGAATTTAAAAGAAGATTACATAAAAGCAAGACATAGATTAGATGCTCTTCCGAAGAAAACAGCTTTCAACAAACCTGCAATCTTGGCATTGTGAAGTAAACCTCTCCACCAGATTCCCTATTAAATTTATGGAACTCATATAAGTTTGCCTTGAGAAGTTCACAGACTATTAGCAAATGCTCCTGGAAAATAAAGAAACGTTAGTTGCTATTCAATTTCATGTGCATTGTCGTTCATGTACAGGACACTATGATGCATTAGCCAAAGATAAGCTTCTAATCTCACCAGCAGAGAAAGCATTTATACAGAACATGTAACTTGAACTTCAGGAAAAACAAATACCTCTAGAAGCCAGACATGTTGAGAACAAAGTCCCCAATAAAAATATGTATCAGTAGAAACATGCAAGAACTAGGACGAGCACCAAATACTATAAGCATGGCCTGTATTAACTTACTCGGTAGTAAAAGTAATCATACAATCGGAGAATGTGATGCTTATCCGATGGATCATGTTTGTTAACATACTTGAGAAGCTTAATCTCATCAAGGCTTTGATCAAAAAAATCTTTGTTGTTCTTTATAATTTTCACACAGACATCCATGCCTGTGTGCAGGTCATGTGCTTGTATAGCTTTACTAAAAGCTGCTGATCCAAGATACTCAGTAACATGATAGCGCCCAGCTATAACAGAATTCAAAACAACATGGAAATTCTTGTCTTCCTCAAATCCAGTTCTGAGAAGGAAAAAGAGGACTTATGTAAGCCAATCTGTTCACAAGAGCTCTACAGCTGATAGCAAAGTGAAAACTAATCAAGATAAATTATACTAAAGAAATATCATCAGGCAAGTAAAATTCCAGAACATATTACATTTATGCACCAGCACAATTCTGAAAATTGTTAGCACTGAATGAAAAGAACATATATTACAATTAGGATTTGTTTCTAAGACATACCTGTTTTTCCTATGCACAATCTTGAGGTTGAAGGTCTCAAATTCCTCCTCCTGTGCTTTAATTTGTCTCACTTGCTCTTGGACAGCAGCAGCCTCCTCATCCTCAAGTGATGCCCCAGGATCCTCTTCCCTCACACCACTAATTTTCTCATCCTCTTCTTTCTTGGTCAGCTCTTGTTCACCATAACCATAATTAGAGAGAGTTGAAGGACTAGAATTGGCTGATCTTACACCATTGGCATTGTTTTCCTCCCTAAAACTTTTGGCGGTTGAAGAATCACTGCTTTTCCGTCTCCATGTAGCATGCATATCATCAGACCCCATCAAAGCACTCAAACAGTCCTCAGGTTCTTCGCCAGTGGCATTGCAGTTACTTGACCATAGAGACTTACTAGAGCCTGCCTGCACCAACTGCCCATCTCTTAGTGGTGGAGGAAAAGAAAAGCCCCCATCTGCAAGATTCTTCATCTGGGGGTTTGGACTTTTATCATTCCCACTAACATACTTATTAGAATCATTTTTTCCAGTTTTCCTTTTATCCCTAATTGATTTATCAATATATTTCCTTTCTGTCTCATGATGACTTTGTCTGGAACCTCCAATAGCAATGTCATGATCATGAAAATATTCTAAATCCCCTTCACTACTACCTCCAACTAAACTTTCACGTACTTCACTGCCAATATCAGCAGCATCACTGCTGATTCCTACACCAATAGACCTAACTGAACCATGCTGGTCATCATCCACACAAATATCATCCAGCTGTGATCTCCCATACTCATTGAGAACTTTTCCATCCCCTAGCATTACAAGTTCATTTGTCTGTGTGACAAATCCCTGCCAAACAGGTTCAGTACGCATCAAATTAAGCTCCTCTTCATCCATTAACTGTCCATCATATTGGGAAATTAAATCATTCTCATGAGTTCTGTCATACATTTCAGTTACAGACAGCCCTATAGGATCATCTGAAGCTGCAATAGGTTCAACATTTTTTGTCTGGTAATACTGTTCACCAGAGAAGTAAGAATCCTCTTCTGCAAAGGATTGATCATCATTTTCATCCTTGGTTTGACCCCTTTCTTGCAGATCCGGAACACTCCCATGCCCAGCTCCCTTCTCGTTGTCACTAGGATAATCAATTTCATGAGCCAGAAACCAGGCTTCATCCTCGATAGGTTGCCTCATGTATCCAACATCATCATCATCATCATATTCATCAGAGTCCCAATACTCATTTGGGTAATCAACAGATTCACTTATTCCATCACCAATAGTAGCAAAACCAGAAATCAGATCAGATGTATCTTCTGTAATGCCCTGACTCACAGAAAGCCAACTACCTCCAGCATTCCTTTTCCCACCTGGATCATCATAAACAAGATTTTCGAGATCTACACGGCAGAGTTATAAGAGAAATGACCAATTCTCTAAAAATAAATAAATAAAAAGGATCATTCATGGTTATGAACTTAATAGATTCAGGGCCAGACAATGACAGCTTACCATCCTGCCCTAGGGAACTAGAGAATGCTACAAGTTTAATCTTTTTTATGAACGTAAATATCTAAGTGCAAAAGCTTAAAAATGCAACATCAACTTAGAATTATGAGGAGATAATCACTTGACCAATTCCAGGACAAAGGTAGTGGCAATAAATGCATTTGACATGTTTAGTGTTATAAAATGACCTTCCAAAAAAAAAAAAAAGCTTATTTTACTTATGTTTTATGCACTCACAGATGCTTAAAAGCACCTGAAATGTCATTCCCGTAGGAAGAGGGATAATATCCATTTTGAGGCCGAAATAATATGTGAATCTGAAAAGCAGGATCTGATTAGTTCGAATCACATAACTGACCAGTAAAGTATCAAGTATCAAGCTGGCAGATTTGGAAAAACTGAGGGTAGGCTTTAGGATTTCCTTTGATATTACATTTGAAAACAATACCATGAAATTTAAAACAAGGCGTTACCAAATGAATAGCATCACAAAACCTCAAGAAACAAGGGGTAGCCGTTAATTTAAAGCATTGTTAAGAGGTGTCAAATGGTTTTACAATACAAAACTAGGAGTATAATCGAGTCAAGCAACTTGTTAGCTACCTGTGCTTTACTTGATGAATACTCAAGCTCATCTCATTCAATTGTCAAGCTGAGCTCGAGCTTTTAATAGTGAGCTCATCAAGTTTTAGAACCTTTAGATATTTTCTAATATTTCATATAAATCAATAATGCATAATATTTACTAGTTACATAAAGCTCAAGCCTCAAACAAGTATCAAACTTCTTATTTAAGTCGATGATAATCAACCCTATTTCATCAAGCTCAAGTAGGTCAAACTTGTGTATAAAAAAAATAAAGCTTAGGCTTCCCGTTTTCCAATTGAGCCAAGCTCAATTCTAAGATTTTATCAACTCAGTTTGGCTTCAATATACCCATAATGCAGATCAAAAGTTAAATTATCAAGAAAATTTAGAGTTGTAACCATTTATTAGTAGCTAGGCTGATGAGGACCCTACATAAGTTAGAACAGATATTATCAAATATTCTTTTTCATGTTTTGCAGGTTTTATTTATTTCAACTTTCGGCTTTAATTACGCAGGTATCCTGATAATTTCAAATTTTGCTAGTTATGGCTAAATCTTGAGGGATAATCCTATTTAAGATCTTCCATTAGGCAACTGGGCTATTATTTTAGCCCCAAGATCAAGAGTTATTTATCAGCCAACATTAACAATTTTTTTCTCATTATCAAATTATTGTAGGACTAAGGACATTAGGAGCCTGTAAGCATTCATTGCTCCTTTAAATTAATAGCCACCAGTGTTCAGCATAGTGGTTTCTGGCACATATGGTGTGTCTTTTCCACATCTCCTATACCCTTCCCCCCAAATTTCCCCTGGTAATTAAAATAATTAAAAACTAAAAATGATTCTTTCAATTAATCAAAAACAAGTTTAACAAATATTTACAAACTACTGAGCTTCATCTAGGATCATGTTAAGTAACTTAACAACACTAGGTGCAAAACCTAAGATATTAAATGAGAGGGATAAGCTGTTTATTCCTTTCCCTTGACAAGTTTAGCGGTAGTATGAAACCTACAATCCTCTTTGAATTGTCCCTAAGAAATCTTCTCAGAAACCATACTATTAGAGGTGACAAAAGAACCCAAACCAGAAAATGCACAAGCCTCAACTGAATCCAAGTTTACCAAAAAAGTCAAAAACCTGAACTTGAGATAATCCAAACGTGAAATCATGTTAAAATAGTGGAATAAAATCTAAAACAGCCTAAAGCTAGTCCTAACCCTTAATAACCCGAATCTGAAAGGACCCGAACTTGAAGCATCTGATTCAAACCCAGCCATTTGCTACCTCAGCATAAATATCAATTAGCTATCAAAATTTCACCTTTGAGTTACTATTCAGATCAGAAGTTCTAAGTACACTACCAAACAGGACACTACCAAACAGGACCAATAATTCCTAAAACTAAAATCTACTAATTGGCTACAATCCTAAACCTCCTATATTACAACCCTAGCCAACCAAATAATTTCATTACATCTGCCCTTTCCAGCAAGAACTTAGGCTTTCCAAAGTTAACGTTCCCTTACTGTCCTACAGCAATTAAGGATAAAATTTTTATGGTTGTCCAAAAGATTCAAGATTAAAGTTAGAAGTTTTAAATGTGGAATACGAATAAACAAGTAAGGACAAAGCTTAGCCCCAATATCATTCACTGACTATTTACTCTAGGCACATCAAATTTTACTTTGACTTTTGCTGCAAAGAATCTTAGTAAATTAGGCTCTATTATTTTCGCGGAAATTGACTTCCATAAAATGTTTTTGGAAAATGTAGATATTTAAATTTTCTAAAAAATAGAGATTTTCTATTTTTTAGATGATTTAATGAAAAATATTTTCTGTTATTTAGTTTTTTTGGGAAAATCTGTTTTTTTTAAATAATATTGACATAATTATTAAAATATTAAAAAATTATTTATGATAAAAAAATATATTGAAATTATTTATTATTAAAATTAATAATATTCAATAAATTTATATTTTAATAATAATATTTAATATTAAAATATTATACTAATATAAAAAACACATAAAACACAAATATTTATTTATATTAATATTTTAAAATATTTAAAATATTATTATTATTCTTAAAATATTATTTATTAATATAATAAAAAAATATATATTTATTATTAAAATATTAAAAACATTTACACTATTAAAATAATTATATATTATATTGAAAATATATATTATTAAATCATAACAAAAAAATGAGAAATCAACTTACACCAATATAAAACTTTTTAATTTTACATTTTTTTTAACCATTAATTTCAATAAATCTAATAAATGAGAAAGACAAGTCAAAAGAAGAAAAAAAACGATTTAATGTCATCCTTTACGTCTATTAAAATTAATGATTAGAAAAAAAATATAAAACTAAAAAGTTTTACAGTAGTGTAAATTGATCCTCTTTCAAAAATATTATTTATTTATATTTATTATTAGAATAATAATATAAATACATAAATAAAAGAAATATAAAATAATATTTTAAATTGCAAAATAATAATAATCTATTAAACATATTCATTTAATGAAAATAATAATATTATTATATTATTTAATATTAATTATTAAAATAATGAAAATAGTATTTAATATATTATTATTTATTATTAAAATAATATTATAATATTATTTATTATTGAACTATTAAAATATTTATGTTTAATATTACAAAATTGAAATATTTAAAATTAAAATATCCAAAGATTGTTAATGTTAATATTTTAATTTTTTAATTAAAATTAAATAAAAATATTTTTTATTAATATAACAATATTTCATTTAGGATTAAATCAAGTTTAAACTTAAAATATCATATTCAAAATCTTACTTGAATAGAACTATAAAAATATTTTTTAAAATTAAAATATTAAAAGATTTTTAATATTAATATTTTAATTTTTTTACATAAATTAAATAAAAATATTTTTATTAATATAATAATATTTCAAGTCAAGTCAAATTAAATCTGAGTTTGAAAAAATCATGTTCAAGGTCCGACTTGAATAAACTTGTACTCACGAGCTTGATAAGTAGTCCCACCCATAGATTTTTTCTAAAAATTGTCTTTCCCTTTTCAAAAGGGGATGACAATTTCATGAAAAATGACCTCATTTTCTGTTGCCCTTCTAGTTTTCTATCAAAGAAACACCAGAAAATGCAAAAATCATTTTTCGAAAGTTATTGTCCACGAGACAAACGAAGCCTTAATAATTCAAGAATTTGTGCACAACTCCAAATCCAACTACTTTTAAACTATTATCAACTGTCAAATTAAAACACTCCACCATGTTATGTAATATAATTTAGATATTTGAACTCTCAGGGTAAGCTATCGTCAAGCTATTTATTTCTATTCGATTTACTTCTCAAGCTATGCCTGGCTTCACATCAGCTACACCTGGTAAGGTCTGACATAAAAACTATAAAAACAATGAAAGTGAACAAAAAGCACAGAAACTATTTCCCACTTGAGTTTCGCAGAGAGGGACTTGGAAGGTTTCATGCAACCTTTTTTTATTATTACAGCTTGTGTCACCTTGGGCAAAGTTCAACTTATCTTCCCAGCTTCCAGAAATGATTTTTAAGGACCACAAAAGTACTTGCCAACAGAAAAATGACAAACCTCATAGAAGAAATTTAAGAACTAATGGCAACAAAGTATCAATCCATCTAAGAGGACAGATCTATCAAACACAAAATTCACATAGCTCACCAATGAGGCTTTGCCACCTATGACTAGATGGCATCTTTTCAAGTTAGCAAAGATTTTTGCCACAACAAATTAAACATCTTTGTGAGGTTTAGACAAAGAATACATATAAACACACAGACATACAACATACACATATCCTACCAGAGGGTAAAATAAACGGAAAATCAAGTATGGAAAAGGAAAAAGTAGAAAAATAAAGGTTTGGATAATTAGCCAACAATTTGCAGTCATTAATTTAAAGAAAATCAAATACTCTGTAAGCACAAATCATCAAATAACCATATCAAAATGTGAACTAACCTGAAGAGTTTATCTCTTGTCCAATGGGAACATCCAGATAGGACCCTAAAAGGAAGGTATTGTCAGAACTTGTGAGCTTTGCACCTGGGCCATCAGGTTCATATTTTTCCTCCCAATTAACATTAAATGACTTCTCCTCCAACTTGAGTTTAACAGGTGGCAGCCTAGGTAACTCTTCCTTTGGATTACCAGATGCAAGAGGGAAGGCCAGCCCATTTAAACCTTTTTGATCAGCACTGGCTTGAGACTTCCCAAAGAATAAAGCCCTTCCAACCTCATCCACCTGTTCTTTAATTGCCACCCTAACATCAGGAGCATCTGCTTTCTTCTTTCCTTCTCTCTTATCTGAAGCAGTGGCAGCATCATAACAGATAGATACATCCCCCTTAGGGAATGGAAAAACAGTCTCGACAGAACAATCTTTCCATATCTCTGACATTGAACTACTGGGTTCCTCAGTTCTAGATAATCTGCTGTTATCAGAAAAGTTTTCCTTCAAGTATGCACTGCTAGTCTTAAATTGCTGATCAAACTCCTTAGTTTCACTGGTATGAAACTTGTAATACTTGGAATCTACATTAGCTTTGCTAGGATTTCCAAACCATGAAGTTTTCATTTCACCCAAAGAGGCAATCTCTTCTCCAGATTTAACATTGCTTTTATCAGTGTCAGGAGCTTCAGCTATACGATATCTTGACTGTTCAGGTTTCTCTATCTCCAAAAAGCTAGTGCTACTAACAAAACCATCATTTTTGTACAGATCAGGACCATTGCTAGTATTGAAGTTCCACGGCTGCAAATTGAGTACGGCATCCTCTGAATTTTTAGAGAAAGTCAAACTCTTATCACTTGTCACTTTTGCTTCATTAGGTTTATTACGCTCCCCAGTAGAAGCAGCATTTCTCCATTTGCTCTCAGAACCATTTCTGACAGCCCCACACTCTATCTCTTTCACTATAAGTTCCTTAGAAACCTCACCACTGTTTCGAGAACCTGAGCCATGACTTTCACCCACTGTTTTTCTCACGTTTTCTTCTTCTAGTACCTTGCCAGAGTCCTTTTCTTCAAGAGTAAGTTTCTGAACGAATCCATTCAAATCAGAGTGGTTACCAAGTTCACTACGCAAAGCTGCCTCAGCTCTTGTAAAGCGATTTCTCCTCAAAAAGTCCAAAATCACGTCTACTGAGCTTGGTTCTGTCATTATGAAGTGCTATAGATCTAGACACAGGTACTAGAAGTAAGAATCCACCAAACCTGAAAATATCCAAACAAAAGAGACAAACAGTTCATTTATTTGAAGTCAAAATGGAAGTTGAAAAAAGTTCAGCTTCAAATGCTCTTTTCACTGTAAGAAAACAGGCTTCAAGGAAAATAATTAATAAAATTTGGAAACATTTATTGTTTTCCCTTACCTTTAAATTCAAATATAAGAAAACTTACCTAAAACTAAAAGGCGAAACCAAGATTAACCATCTAGCAGGTTTGTTTTTTGCCAGGTGAAATTTGATTTCCTTTTATCTCCCTTTTATAGTAATAATCTACTTCCCAATAATAATAAAAAAATCAAGGTCAAATAGCAATAGCAGTTCCATGAAAACAAAACTGTGAATGTTAGAAAACTTGAAAATAAGGTTCATGGTTTAGAGTAAACTCTTCCTTTTTCCACTTAAAAACACCCCTAATTTCGAAAACACTTTCCATAAACTTGGTACATTTTCTCAGAAATGAAAGCGAAAAACAAAAAACCTTGAGAAATTCCCAACCTCGTGAATCAGATCGAAGGATGACAAGATCCAGAGCTCCAACCAAAAACCCTAGAAATTTCCCAGACAACCTTCAAATAACGGAGTTCAAATTTTAATTGATGCAGCCAAAAATCGGACAAGAGATTCGAATAAACAAATAAATAAATAAAAACTCACAGATCAACGAAGAAGAAGAGCAGTCACACCAATCTCTGTTGCTGGCTTTGGATTCCATAGCCGTATTCCACATTAAAAAATGCAAACGCCAAAATAGGATAAATACAATGAGATTTTTCTTCTGTTTGCCCTTTCTTTAATTTTTTACGCTTTTCTTTTTCGTTTTTCTCTCTTCAGGTTCGGTTTTTTGTTATTGTAGTCATTGTTTTTGGCCTGCCATTTCTCACGGGCCTGCCATGGCATTTAGGAGCAAAAAATTTTTAAAGAATAAAGTTTTCGATAATAATACTATAAATAAATAATTTTTTCTACTAAATAAATATATATATATATATATATATATAGCGTAGAACAAGTTATTTAATAAAAGCGATGTGTGACGCTGCGTCGTTCTGCCTCGGGATTTCTGATGAGCGCTCTCACAGCACATCGGACGGTACTTGCTCTCCGCCAAACCCTTCCTTTAAAAAGAAAAAAATACACAAATATTCATCTAATTTTAAAGTTAATTTTAAAATAATCACTTAAATATTATTTTTTTAATTTAATCAATTAAATTTAAGTAATAATTTTTTATTATTTAATTATTAATATCTAATGATATATTGATATAATAATATCCTTTCAATTATCAAATATCATTTGATATTATTATATCATTCAAATCATATCGTATTATTAATATAATATTATAAATTCTTAAAAAATAAATATATTTTAATATATTTTTTAAAAATTTTATTTGGATCACTTAATTTAAAAAATTTAGAATTTGGTTACAATAAATAAACTCTCAAATTCTATAATAAAAATAAACATTTGATATTTTTATTGCATGGATTAAATTATAATTTTTTATTTTATTATAATTATATCACTTAAATTTGAAAATTGGATAAATATTATCTAATTGCTAAAATTACTAAAATAGCATTACATTAAATATTTGTGATTCATTCCATTCAAATAAATTTAAGTAAATATTTCATATTTTATAACGTCAAGATCTAATTACACTAAAAGTTCATAATTTTAGTTCCATGCAATAATAGATAACATAGATTTATTGTAATTAGAACATTAATAGTATGTAATATGAAATTTATTAATATTTTAGTCACTAACATTTATGAAATTTATTAATATTTTGGTTTTTATGATCAATGGCTCATTGTTACCGTAAATTTATAATGAGTTAATAACCAATATTTGTAAAATTTAATATACTTAATTATTTTATTATTTATGTTGTCTATTGAAATATATTGAGATAATATTCAAATAAGTTATTGAATTTTATAAAAAAAATAGAAAAAAACATTTGATATCTTTATTGCATGAAATTAAACTATAAAATTTTATTTTATTATAATTATTCCATTTAAATTTGGAAATTGATGAATATTACTCAATTGCCAATTTTACTAAAATATTTTTGCTTCAAATATTTATCATTTAATTAATCTAAATAAATTCAAGTAACTATTTCAAATTTTATATTTTGATCACCAATGTTTGTGAAATTATTAATATTTGAATGCCACCCTGAACATAACTTTATAATGATTTAATCACCAATTATTTGTGAACTTTAATATAATAAATTATTTTATTTATCTATATTTTCTTTAATATTTTATTATATGAAATTAAAATTAAATCTTGACATTATGAAATATGAAATACTTATATGAATTTATTTAAATGAGTTGAATAACAAAGATTTGAAGTAACATATTTTACTAATTTTTGCAAATGAATAATTTAAATGGTATAATTACAATTAAATAAAAATATTATCATTTCATTCTATGTAATAAAAATACCGAATACTCATTTCTATTTTTTTATAAAATTTAAAAACTTATCTGTTAGTGACCAAATTTTAAATTTTAAAAGTTTAATAACTAGAATAAAAATTCTTAAAAAATTATGTGATCAAAATTTATTTTTTTTAATTTATAATGTCATGTTAATAATACTATGTAACTTGTCAAATAACGTAGTGGTGTCAAATGAGACCAAACAACTGACATGATAATCTTACATCAATACACCGTTACATATGAATGACTAAATGATAAAAATATAATTATTCAAATTTAAGTGATTAAATTAAAAAAATTATTACTTAAGTAACTATTTTAAAACACCCTTAAAATTGAGTGATTATTTATGTATTTTATTTTTTTATTATTTAATTTTTTTGTCATGCTGAATGAATTATTTTTAATAATTTTTAAATAATAATCAATATATTTTACTTTTTGTAATTTATTCATTTGTTTGGTTTAAAGTACCGTGCATGGAGTTTAGAAATGTTAAATTTTCAATTGTATTAAAAAGGGAAAACAAGGAGAATCTGAACCCGTTCTCTTCTTTAGGTTTTCTAACATTTCATCTACAAATTTTGTCCCTCTTTGTCATGAAAAATTGATTTTTATGGTCTATTTTATCCTTTAATATCAAAAAATTACATAATAAATTGAGATTCAACCTAACATGCAAAAAGGCATTCTAAGCTTGATACTTTGAAATCTCACTATGATCGTGTTTAAGTTACATTTTTTAAAAAATAAATATTAATTGAATTTTTATTTGTATTTAGTTTTTATTAAACATAATTAAACTTATACTTAGTTTTTACAGTTATTTGAATTTATTTAATAAAAATATAAAAATTATAATTGTTAACATATGTATATTTTTTAAATAACATTGTAATTATTTGAAATTAAAATATATTTAACAAAATTTTTTAATTGATTAAAATTTTAAATTTCAAAATTTTATAATTTCTACAAAGACTATAAAATGAAAATGTAATTTTTGTTGAAAATATACTAGGAAAAAATTATTTTTCAAAATTTTATAATTTTAATAAAGACTATATTCTAAAGATTAAAAATGTAGTATTTGTTGAAAATAAATTATGAAAAAATGTATTTTTCAAAATTTTATAGTTTAAAAAAATTACGCTTGTAAGATAAAAAAAAAAACATAATTTTTATTGAAAATATATTATAAAAAAAATTTTATTTTTCTAAATTTTATAGTTTCAACAAAGACTAAGTTTTTAAGACTAAAAACATTATCTTTGTTGAAAATATATTATGAGAAAATTTATTTTTTAAAATTCTATATCTTCAACAAAAATGATATTTTTTTAAATATATTATGAAGAAATTTATTTTTCAAAATTTTATAGTTTTAATAAAAATTACATTTTTAAAATGAAAACATAATTTATGTTAAAAATATATTATGAAAATAATTATTTTTTGAAAATTTCACAATTTCAACATAAAACTACGTTTTTAATATGAAAAACATAAGTAATTTACATATTATATGTGTAATAAAACCCAAAATACATTTACTTGTATCGTACATTCCTATAAATCAAAAGGTTGATCCAAATATTTACTCTGCGTAGAGTTAATCAATGATAGAATAATAATTATACTCTATGCAATTTAACAAAATATATATACAAATATTTGTATATATTTATTTACAAGTATTATTTGATATATAAAATAATTTTAGTAATTTATTATTTATTAATTTCACAAATATTAAATAAAATCATTTACATGTTAAATAAGTAAATAAATAATTTTACATGTTAAATAAATAACTAAATAATTTAAATATAAGGGTTAATGTTAAAAATAGTCCTTGAATTACAGTCAATTATTCAATATAATACTTGAACTTTAAAATTTTCTAATGTGATACCTAAATTATAAATTTGTTAACTATTGTAGTATTAGCTTATAATATGATTAGTTTCAAATGATGACACGTGGTAGACTAACAGTTTTTCAAGTACCACTTTAGTTAATAGATTTATAGTTCAAGACTATATTAGTTAACAAATTTATAATTTAGATACCACATTAAAGATTTTTAAAATTTAGATATCACATTGAATATTTCACTATAATTTAAAGACCATTTGTAATATTAACCCTAAATATAACTATTTATAATATGTTATTCACGTGACATCAACTAATAATATAACTAAGGCAATATAGTTAAAGATGTTATTATTCCCCTAATCAAATATAACAACCCTAAAATGTGACATCAACTAATAATACAACAAAAATAATATAGTAAAAGATGTTATTGTTCCCCTAATCAAATATAGCACCCCCAAACACATGAATTTAGCATTCTCCTGAATCTATCAAGTAAAGTGATTTAAAAGAGAACATTTTCTCTCTCGAAATGTTAGATTCCACATAACAAAACCCTCATTAATATTAAACTTAAGTTTGTTAGCATCATTACAAAAAAAAATTTTTACTATATCGTCAGTTTTAACTCAATTTATGTGGCAATTGAATGTCATTTGTCATCATTTTTAGCTTAATTGATATGACTATTGAATGTCATTTGTTTATGTTTGAAAGCCATGTGGTAGTAAAATACATACGCATTTTCTAACATGAAAAAAAAATCACTTGGTTTTAATGACTGTGTTGTTTATTATTCTTTTCTTTATGCTTTTGTTTTGTCATTATGGGTTTGATAGCTTTTATTTCAAGTTTTTATTTAGTGCTTTAATTCATTATTAGTGCTCTATTTAGTACCTTTTGCAATAAGAAATTGGATTTTGGTTTTAAGATGTAAGAAGTTTTAGTATTTAATGTTTTTCCTTTTTTTTTGTTTATTCCCTTTTTTTAGGTTTGTTAATTATCATTTTTTTTATTACCTTTATTTGGTTCAATGCATGAAATCTTTCTCCAGTGGTCTTATAAGTCTCTATTTTAGACACTTAGGTATATTTCAATTAAAGTTCAACAATTAGGCTTGATAAAGTTGTAATTTGTTTAAATAAGTTTTGTAGACACCAAATTTTGTCCGAAACATTTTAGTATAGTTAATCTAGGTCCATTTTATAATCCATAAAAAGCCCACAAGTTGGCCCATTTAGAGACCCAAACAAAGCCCATTTAAAGCTAATAAAAAGGCCATTTTAAGAGCTTATAAAATGCATCGATATTTAGGCCTGTAATAAACAAAGAAAAATAAGACCCATATGATTATTGTCAAACTCGTTCGCATGATATTTATATAGATGATATTTTTTTCACATGGATGCATGATAAATAGAGAATAAATGAAACGAGTAAATCCAAAAATCAACTCTAGTTAAAATTGCACAAAATTTGATCAAAATTAATAGAACTATGGTCAATCCTCAAAGTTCACAACCTAATTGGACTCAATGTGATTTAAAATTAAAATTGGTGATTTTTAAATTACTAAAAATTTTTATTGCACTGGAAGAAGTACAAAATTACTAAAATACATTTTTGAAGGTATTTTTGTAATTTGACTTTTTCAAGCTTGAATTTTTATAAAACTTTTTAGATCTTAATTTCATAATATTTCATGTTTTTTGGTGCATTTGAAATCACAGTAGTATCCC